GTGCGGAGCATTTGATGATTTCAAAGGAGCAATCGATTGGATTTAAAATTGAGCGCAAAAAATCATAGAATTAGAGTTCATTTTTATGTCGAAAACGTGAACGACCAGAAATACTATCGATGTATGACAATTTACTACTCATACGCATTTATTGTTGCACAACAGTAAGGTAGAGTGTAGTAACTTTTTCAAATTATTCCACTATCCTTATATATTCACTGGTTGCCGGATGTGAGTAAACTCTTAACATGTGGCAGCACCGTGTGAATCTCTACTTATCTGTCGATTTTGATGTAACTTTGAACAGTAGTCGTCATCCATTTAAAGTACAGTATATACGCAGTGTTCGCAGGGAAGACTACTTTTTATACCTTATTGGACGAAACGCAGATACAAAGAACACCTGTTAAGGATTCCAGGAAATGGATAAAATGTCCACTTATGAGGCTAATAAGAACTTCAAATGTTCCCTTATTCCAAAGATATATTCAGTAATTTTGAAATTAGAGAAGGATGTAAAGGATAGTATCGTAATCGTACAAGAACATGAGGACCAATAACGACTATAAAAATTTAAAAAAAAATGACTCATACTGCCTATCAAGAGAAAACAAGTGGTTTCGAAAGTTACAAAGAAGTGCATGAACTCCAAATACAAGGAAGTAGCGTTTTACAATGCAACTTAGTGTTCTGGGCATCACCAAGAAAGTAGTCGTCAAAATCTACGTAAAAAAGTAGTGTAAGAAATATATTTTAATAGTAATAACAACAGTTAAGCACACTTAGCCCGCAAATAAACGTGCACAAAACATCATAAATTATTTTCTAGTTTCCATGAGAATAAGCCTTTACTATCAGTATTGGCTAGGATTTTTCCTAAAGTATTGCCAATCTGGCCAACTGGGGCTTCAATTAATTAACGAAAACTGTGGCGTTCCCGGACTGTTTGTGACCTTAAATATTCTCGCCTCCATTTTCCTTGATGTGCCCTACTGTTCGAATGCGCGGACAACACAACTAGGACTTTAACCGCGTGTATAGCAAGATTCAGGTTGTAAATATTTTCTGTAATATTTGACATACTTTTGCAGTTTGGTTGTTTTTGGCCATTGTGATATCTTACGTTGGGTTACGCTCTATACTTAAATCGAGTCAAAGTATTCTAAACACAACAGTATACACGACAAAGCTGTGTTCTCGTTAAGGCCGAGTCCTTTTTCATGTGACGTTAGATGACACTAGGGACAGATTAACGCTAAAATATCCTGAAAAGTTTGTTAAGAATGTAAATGTTTCACACTGAAGCTTATAAGGTCGGCTCATTTTTACACGCTGGCAGTTACGCTCTAATTCCCCCTTAACAAAAAACCGAGGATTTGTAAAAACGGGCACTTATAGCTGCGGGACACTCCTTCTTATCCATTCAAACAATTTCAGTTTAATATAATTTCACTGCATCCTTGAATGTTTAATGTGCGGCTTTAAATTTGTTTATTAACTTCACACAGTGCTTGAACCTATTGACGATGTGCGCAATTTCAAAAACTAAAACCTTTGTTGAGACTGACAATGGGAAGAAGCCAATTACGCAGTTGGTAAACTTAGTCTGTGGGACAGGATAAAAGCGGCCAGCTGCCGAAACCGCGCTAGGCACTCGACATCTTAATGACCACACTTGCGATTGTTGGCTGTTAAATCTGGCCATTTTAACTTTTGTCCGAAAGCGAAGCATTTTTGGTTCGAAAAATATTCTGCCTATACTGCTAGGCGAACTGCATAGGCGAAAGATTTGTAAGCAGACGCTTGGGAGGGCCGAAACGCAGCTTTGACAACTCAGAGGCAAGCCATGGTGTGGGAATGTTTGGAAGGAGTGGAATTTTTCGGCATTTTGATTAACGTCGGATCCGGTGACTGGGCTATTTATGCCTCGGAATGCCTTTGGGAAAGAAATATTTTTAATCGAAAAGAGAAGTTTTGTGTAGTCGGATTGGCTGCATCGGAAAAAATCCCATTTCTGCTACGAAAAATGGACAGAAAGAAGATTAAAAGGACTAAACCGAAAAGGTAGGTAAACGGAAAAGGTCCCGGTAGCATTTGTTCGTGGCTGAAAATTTGACTTATCAGGTTTGGATGAGCACTATGAGCAGAAGCAACATTTCCCGCTGTTTTCTCCTCGTGAGTATCTCCCAGTTGCTTTCGTTTTATTTTTGAGCAAAGCTTTCTTATGGGCGAGGGGTATTGTCAGCATTATCTAGTAGATTGCAATTCAACGATAAGCCTTTCATGTCTCGCTTCCCGGACAGGCAATGTTCTCCATAAACAGAAATAAAACGACCATTTGCCATTTGGATGAGCTGGAAACGCACTAAAGAAGCGCACTGAGGAAGATGTACACTTAGTGCCTATATGTGGGCACAGCGATTTGCTCCTCTAAATGAAGCTGAAAGTCCGAGCCTAGAAAATTTAATGACCTGTGGGATTTCGGGAGAGTTTGTCCTGCATAATGCTGCTTCCAGTCGTGAACCTTATTATAGTGGTTTTATCGGCTTGGGGGTCGAACAGAGCTAGTGCATCTTCCTTTGCAACAAGCTCATCCTAATTGAAACAAAATGACTGTTTTTGAGATCGCTAACTGATATTCAACATTGAAAAATGGCACGAGAAATAAGGCGAGCTTCCTGTTCCGCTTGTCGTTTTGTCATGTGCCGCGCATTCATCTGAAATCCACACCTACCCACTCACATAGGAAAAAAAGAAATTTCCTCAGTCTTAAAATTCAGGCATTATTTAGAAGTTTGCGAAAATTCCCATTGAAAATTTCAGAAGATGAAATGACGAAGATATGTTTGATTTCGACAATTTTCATCAGGCCTCTACATTTATATGTTCAGTAAGTAAATAAACTATGCGAGTTGGTAGAAAAAAATATAACGGTTTTTGCTTACCCAACAGCCAGCAGCTTATCGCCTCGGCCGACAACCAGTTTCCCCTAACGCTGGTCAGATTTTGACCCCGTTTGCCCTGCCTTCCCCTGTCCCGACAACCGTTCTATTTTTTCTGCCAAAATGCATAGTTTATTTACTTAATTATCATATAAATTTAAAGGCTTGATGAAAATTATTTAGATGGTAAATATTTGTGTTTTGCAGGTCGGGATTGCGAAACTTCATGCCCAGCCTTGATTGGGGTGCAAAACCCCTGGAATATTGTGCTTTTATGGGCTAGGTTCGCCAACATATAGAAATCGTCAGTCAATTTTTTCGCCTTTAGTCTTTAGATTAAGCCACTTTTTCGGTTCTTAGCTCTTAATTGGACACCCAAGCAGTAATTCAATGATCAGTGGCATTCAAGCGCAAACATTATAATAATTTTAATCGCTCGAAAAACTAAGTGTTCTAACCGCTGACTTGGAAGGGTCCTTCATAGCAAAGTCGTAATATATTTCACTATTTTTTGAGAACATGCACATTGAATTTTTAGCATTATGCAACCAGTTGCCCTTTTTTAACTTACTGAATTATAACATACTGATAATGGTGGCGGAGATGCCGTTTGCAGGGATGCTGATGGTGTCGGTGGGGAGGGGAGATGGGGGAGTTAGTGACGAGTAGCTGGAAGTCTAAAATGGTGATACCGTTTATGATGGTATCGCAAAACCACAGAAAGCTCCTAAACGGAATAATCCACCAAACGGGGCTTGTCAATCTTGAGGGGCCTCTATCTGTTTGATTACTATCAAAAGCAGGAACTTGGTGTTTCCCACGTCAACCACAGAACGATTCAGTCATTATTATTGTTGCTGTCATAGCACCTCGTAGTTTGTTTGCTTAGTCTTTGCAGGCGGAACAGTGAGCTCATTATTACGCTATTTACTAAAGATAATTAATTTTGTCTGAAGCAGAAGAAGACAACACAGCCTTTGAAATTTAGAGACTTTATAGTCCTTTGTTTGTACATTCAGATGTCTTTTTATTCGTCCGCGAGCACCAGACTAGTCTTCGTCATCTGCCGAGGTGTCCTTTCCATAGACACTCCAGATACGATTTTTATCCGGCTTTAGGACTTGAAAGCCACCTTCTAGGATCGTGGGAGATTTATCTTCACGTCGAATAACGAACACACCTCCCGCGTTGTCAAATTGATTGCAGTAATTTGGGGCAGAAAAAACAGTGATTAATTTTCGATCATGGTAAAATTCATAACCGTCCTCGACCACCTGGTGTCCCCGAACAATCAAGTCTAGACCGAATTTGTCCAAAAAATGATCAATTACGTCGTAACCAAAGTGCCATGAACAACCTCGGGGACTCTGTTGCCAACCCATTGGGTCGTCTCCACTCATAGGCATATCCGCCGGGTCTGCCCAGACAAGGTCGCAGAGGAAGCCTTCTCGTGGGACGTCTGTCGGTCTTGCGGTTGAATTTAACAGTTCGGTTAGATTGGAGACGTGGTCCTGCAAAAAGTAAGGTGAAATTCCACCGTGACAACAGAATATGCTCTTTTCAACAACTGCGGCAATGGGTAAAACATTAAAGACCCGAAGAAAAGTCTGCCGCAATTTTGTCTTCCCATAACGGTTTCTGATCTCCTCCCGAAAGCCATAGACTCTGTTTACCAAGCCAATCTCGTGGTTGCCTCGAAGGAGGTAGACATGTTCTGGATACTTGATTTTGTAAGCAAAGAGGAGACACAGTATTTCTATTGACTGTGGTCCACGATCAACATAGTCACCAAGAAAAAGATATCTGGACTGTGGAGGATGATTACAGAGTTCCAACAGTCTTAGTAGGTCATAGAACTGCCCATGTAAGTCACCACAAACCTTGAGAGGAGCGTCTAATTCAAGCAGCATTGGTTCTCGCTCAAGAATGGGTGCCACCATAGAGCACAAAGCAATGCATTCGATCTGTTCGATGGGGATGAGTTCGCCGGGTCTATCGATGCCTTCTCTTAGTCGTGCTATTAATTTGTCTAGGTCAACTTCGTAATTTAGGCCCTCACCCTCTCCTTGGTAGCTCATGGCTGGCAGGTTCAGAGTCTAACAAAACATGGCAGCGTTTAAGAGGCATGCACTCCATGAAGTCGTCCACATGCAGCCGCCAGGGCGATCGATATTTTCCGAGACCGCGTGCGCTAGCACGTCTGGTTGTGTACATCTGCAGTCTGAAGCGATTCGTCTCCCGCACATATGCACTAGTCATTTGTTGACTTGACAATAACCCTTATTTATGATTTTCTTCATCTAGCCATTGTTGGTTATAGGGATTGGGACATATCCAGAGATTGTTTTATCACATAGTTTGCTCATCTTAACCACAGTTGTACAAAAAAGGACATTTTGCCTAGGTAACTCTAATTTTATTAAGTAACGTTCTCTAAGAGGATGACGTACGGCAATGAATAATAAGACTTAATACGAAAATATAAAAAACAACTACCCTTACAGCATTCCAATTTTAGGTAGCGCATACTAGAGTGAGAGTTGAACATTCGGGTACCATTAAGCCCCACACTCATCCGTGGCCCATAGGTATTTAGCTTCATATGTGAATGTGGGGAAATTCAGTCCATTCAAGCTAAAATTCTGTCATGATTCATGAATGAAAACCTGCACGACGTGGAACCACCTACATTAAAAGCAATTCATTGCAGACAATTCCCCCCGAAACGAACGTACATAGTCTTCATTTAATTTTTACAAATTTAGTGCGTTTTTAGGCTTCCGCAGCTGGAATGGTTTGCTTGAAGAAGAGAAAGCAGTTCGTGTAAAGGGCGCAGCTTATGTTGCATTGATCATA